ATTTGCAGAGAACTAATGGTAAGATTCTTAGAATTGTGTTTTTCCATTCTAAAAAAATAAGCAGAGCTCTGTTCTCCTTGTTCTAGCCATTTCCTCCTTGAACGGACATAGGAACCTTCAGCTTTGTATTTATAAATACGGTCTAATTTAGCTTGGAGCTCTGTAAGTTCTGTCAGGTCAGTTTCTGATAAGCCATCCTGAGTTTTGCTCTGAAGTGTTAAGATCTTTGATATAACCTTCTCCTCTTCATACCTTCTCTGTTTTGCCAAATTGCTACTAAAATGCCTAATGCACATCCCTACTTCATATTTTAACATCTCCCAATTTAGGCCAAATTTTTTGTCAGAAGAAGCTTTCACCCAGTAGCGTTGAATCAGAGAGGAAATTCTTTTTTTTAATTCGTCATGTTTAAGTAGAGAGGAATTCATTTTCCAGTAAGAGGCTCTAGAGCCTATATTTGAGTGTCCTGTGGATAGTGGAGTAGAAAGGAGAATAGTGTGGTGGTCCGTTAAGGGAGAAGGAAGAATACTAACTGAAACATTATAATGAAGTTTGAAAGAGTATGGTACAAGCCAGTAATCTAAACGAGAAAGTCTTGAGCGATTCTTGTTACCCCATGTGTAAGATTTATCGTTTGGGAACTTCTCCCTCCAAATATCTATTAAATCAAACTTCTCCATGAACATTTTCAGTTTTGAATTAGGAGAAGTAGATTGCCTAGGAGGAAATCTATCAAGACTGTTATCAGGTGTGATATTAAAATCTCCACCAATACAAATTACAGCATCAGGAAATGTAAGCCATAACAAAAAGTTGTCTCCTATCTCTTCAAATAACAGGTCATTTTCCCGAGAGGTATTATACCCATAAATGTTAATCATTAATACAAAGATATTATTAATACAAATTACCAATAACAGAAAGTGCCCCTTTGGATCTATATAACTCTGTAAAACTGAACCTGCAAAATGGTTTTTCATTATCATAACACCAGCAGAACGCTCTGAACCATGAGCCATCCACACCTCGTTGCCCCATTGATTTTTCCAAAAAGTAGTGTCATTAGAAACAGAGTGAGACTCCTGGAAAAAACAAAAGTCAGTTTTGAAAGATTTAGCATACAAAAACAACGCTTTACGCTTTACATTATCACGTAACCCCCTAGCATTGAGAGAAACAATTGAAATAGACATTCAACAAAAACAAAAAACAGAGCAAAAGATAATAGAACAAAAATACTAGTAGTAGAACCCTTAAGGGATAAAA